CATGAAACAAATAATATAAACCATACAATCGACCGACTGTTTTAATAAACAGATTGGGAGTATCTTTTATTCATAAGAGTTCCATAACTACGTGTCAAGTGTTGAATCACTATGATCTTAAAGGAATTTTTAATTAGTGAACAGATTAAAAAATATGTGTGTAGAGCAAATGCGTATATTTGGCTCAAAACCTTTATACATATGGAGTAAGTAACAACTGCCAATTTTTCGAATCATAATGTGATCACGGATAAATACTCACTGGAACATCATCTGAGGACAGTGGTAGATGTCTAAATTTTATAATTTTAATAAGACATCTTGGAGTTTACGCTTCATTCAATAATCAACATGGAGTCTCAAGTTCGCGTGGCAATTTCAAAACTTATGTGCCACTGTATAGGGATCCATTGATTCACATCCCTCACTTCTGCCAATTCGCATTATGTTACGATGATCATCCAACGTCGTCTATGATATCTGTTTTAATTGTGAAATTATTAAGCTCTAACGATTGCCAAATAAATGCTGCTGGAAATCTTAATCAAGGTATCAGGACTCAGAGATTCAATAGGACAATGTTCATCTTGAAACCTGGAGGTTGTAGGTTTGATCCGTTGTAGAGAGGTGTGTAGACAATTATTAGCACAAGATACTGAATGTCTGTTGACCGGATATCACCAGCAAAAACCTACTGTGTGAGAGAACAAATCAGCTTCCAATTGAAGGAGAAATTAGGAAAAGGCGCTGGAATTGGTTAGGACATAAATTGCGGAAATCATCGAATTGTATCACGAGGCAAGCGCTGACTTGAAATCCTGAAGGGAAACGGAAAAGAGGAAAACCAAAGAACACACTGCGCCGAGAATTGGAAGAAGGTATCAAAAGGATGAATAGCAACTGGAAATAAGTGTAAAGGATTGCCCAGGATAGAGTTGGATGGAGAATGCTGGTGGGCGGCTTATGCTCTTACACGAGGAGCAACAGGTCTAAGTAAGTAATTAAGTAAGTAAGTTTATAATTATTACTTCTTAATTGAACAGGTCATTCAATTTTGTTAGGCACTGATTTATGCATAAAGCTGTGAGCTATGACTACATTATAGTTCATACAACAATTAAAGTTAAAAATTATAAGGAACGAATTGAGCTCAATTCGTTCCTTATTTACCAAATCGCAAAATGGGAATTTTCACTATATTAAAAATTATAATCAATTGGTAATTACCCAGTAAATATGCTTCGTGTGGAGGATTAGTAGACATTGTAGTATTTTTACGGTTGAAATTACCAGTCGATCTAATATAATCCGACATTGAAAACCAGGAAGCACTGGACGGCCGTTTCGTCCTGACATTGGACTCCTCAGCAGTGCATACCCAAAATCCCACGCTCAAGACTCAAACCCAGGACCTTCAGTCTTGCACACGGACACTTAACTTATAGACCACTGAGCCAGCAGCGAATGTTGTTAGTGCCTGACTTCAATGAATCCATGATCATGCGCAACCCTTCATCGATTGCCTGTGGTGGAATTTTAGTGAGAAGCCATAACCATTGGAGTTCAATCCATACCGGGTATAATACAGTTATCAACCGCATCCAAATTTATTGAGCACAGTGTTTTTTTTACAATTTTCACCCCGAGATGTTATTGGGAATAGGGGATTTATATTCATTTGCTCAGGTAGTATTATCATAACTAACTGGAAAAGGATAACTAGGATCCGATTTTTGTAGTTTATCAGGAAATTTCTACTCGAATGAGATGAAGTCTGACCAGAATTGTTAAACAAGATTATTTTCTTTATTAAGGTATCTCATTGTTATAAGAATATTAGTTTCTTATACACGAAAACTGATACCATTTAAACAGAAAAATGAATGCGATTCCCTTCAAAAGACAACCTTTAAGATGAGAGTTATAATCTAGGTTCCAAAATTCACAATACCGAATTTGATAATAATAATAATAATAATAATAATAATAGAATTCCTAGCACCAAATGTGAGACATTACAACAATTATCGCTTTAACATAATTTCAAAACACATTCATTCAAAACATACTCTTAAAACTGTTTCTAACAGTCAATATCTATCACTCATATTCAATCATTGAAGGTTTCCACCAGTTCATCAGCTGCAACTACCTTCCCATCCATCATGTATTAGGTGTCTGAATTCCAGAATACTCCGCTCCCATTTCGTCAAACGAAAGATCTAAAGGAAGATGTGGAGAGAACTGAAGTGTTTCTGTTAGAGTTTCTCAGTATTTGGTATCTCGATAATGTGTAACCGTTTTATAATAGTGTATGAATACAGTACGACTAGCATTCGTAATTATTCAGTTTAAGCAACTCCAAATCAGGTTGTTTAATTGTAATATTTGAATTGCTAGAAAATAAGTGACCTAAACGTTTAATCTAGCTGTTAGCTAGACAAATTATGACAAACCAGGAACGACTGGACACCTATTTCGTCGTATTTATATTTATATCTCTATATATTTTGAGTTCATTGAGATTTCCATAGACAACCATGGTTTGCTGTACAGAAAGTATAGGTGCATTTAATTAATAAATCATTCTCATCAAAAAAGCGACATTTATAGAAAAGTAAAATATAATGTTCCACAAACGTGGTTTATGGAATGTGGTTAATATTAGAATGATTTTGTTGAATTCAGCATGGACAGTTTCTAAGTCTTAATTAATTATCGCAACAGTGGAAGGGAAACAAAAAACAAATATTCACGTTTATGTATAGTATTGAACCATATAATGGTTAAAAATGTCTTGATTATTTTTAAAATGACAAACTACTATACTGTTGAAATTTGGTGAGACTGACAATATATCCGAATTCTTTAATGTAGCATAATACACCTCAATTAAACAGGATTTATCAAAGTAACATTAAAATCTAATTGATTGATAGCATTGATATATCATTGTCTCGTAGCAATGATGTGAACAGTAACCGATTAATCCATTACAAAAAAGCGAACAACAAGAAATCATATTATCTAGTAACAAAAAATACCTGTGCTATAAGAGCCGAGTGGCTCAATAAAGAACTCACTGAGGTTTGAAGCAAAAGATACTGAGCACTAGTCATAATGAGTAAGAAGTTCAGTGGTCAGATGTTGTTATATTAATCTGAACTGGGTTTCATAACATCAGATATATCAGTTGACTATTACCAAAGGATCCCATACTAGGGTAAAATCTCTTTTTAATTTCATTTTTCGATGGCGACTACCCTTAAATAATATGTAGTCTCCACCAAGTCACCTATATTGATATAGTGCATATTGTCTTAGAATATTTTACGTTATATTAAGAGAGAATTCTGAACGTTTCATTGTTAAAATGTTTATTATTTGATATATTTGTAACACTCATTTATAGATTAAAGTATATATTTCTAATTTAAACCTAACCAATGTCATATGAAGCACATATATTTCATCACAGCAATAAGTGCATAAAACAGTGGATTTCTAACATCATTAGATTACAGTTTTCTATAAGCCCATGGCTTGTTACAACTTTATCAACTTATTGACATATTTTTAGTATATTTATAACTAATCATGAGTAAAAAAACACTACAAAAAATTGCGAAGTAAGATTTTCTGGTTTTTTAAAGGAGTTCCTTAAAGTTTATGGGTATTTTTTATGAGGGTTAACAATTATTGTTTAGATCAGAGTCGACTGTGTAAATGTTTATAGGCTAAATTAATAATTATACTTTCTCTTTCTCACACCTTTTTTCATTCACTACAAACACAACTCTTTTTAATAAGTTTAAACTCAAAGTTTATCATTTCTATACGAGTGAAATGCATGAACAATTTGAAGCTATTTATATCACTCTTCAGTGCTTGTTGTAATTCAGTGATAGTAGTTCTGAATGTCAAAATATTGTCTCCTTCAGTACTTAGCTAATCAGTGAAATGCGTCTAACAAACTACAGAGAGATGACGTATATAAAACCCTTTGAACTTAAAGACATTCTTTAGAATTTCAGCTATTACGTGACTTGGATCCAGCTAAAAATGTAAGTTATTTCATGGCGATTGAAAATTGACAGAGAATTCTACTATAATAGTATATAAAATAACACCAACAATAGCATTCAGAAGTACCTCAACCGTTTGAGGACTCGGACTCGGAGGATATTCTTATAGAGCTTAGAACGTTATTCATTGCTTTGCATATTTAAGACCTTGGTATTAAGAATTAAACAAATAAACTCTGCTTGTTAATAACGATAAATAAAAGTTTTTTTATGAAGAAAGGGATAAAAGATTGGAGTATTTTTCAGCTTAGAATCTATAAGCCTAAAACCTAAATAATTTAAATAATAGGCTAGAAATGTTTTGAAGACTAAATGAAAAATTCTACACTACAGTAACGTAAATTATTCATCTGGCCTTCTAAAAGAAGTATTCATTAATGTAATTTAAATTTCTATAAAAAACTTACTGTTCCTGTGGCAGATCTTACTAATTGTCACGAGCTTCTAAACAGTTTAATATTTAATTTATGCATTATCACTATAAAACATCGAATTAGGTAGTGACCTTAAATATGTGCCACAAAGTGTGGATAACTGATTCGATACATGTTCTCAACTTCAACAAATGACTGATATTCTCTACTTAATACACCTCACCTATCCACTATGTTTTTCAACCACTGGTCCTAAAAAATAATTGAAGTCATTACCGACTAAATATCTTGCTAATATTTCCTTTTAATAGTAGAACCATCAATAACATGGAGTATATTCAACTCTCGATGACATTTAGATATCTCATCCAAGTTCAAAGTAACCCAAGTTGATTAAGGACTGAAATTTACCTACTGGTCAATTTATGGAAGACAACGCAGGTTTAAACAATTGAAGCATATACAAGCCTTAGCCTAATCACCATTAAAGGTCAATCTTCAAACAATATTTATTCGGTTAAACTACACCAACATTACTTACCTTTTCTAATAGTGTTCAGAAGTTTCCATGTTTTTCATCATCTAACCTAATAACATTACAACACTTCTTTTGATCGATTCCATTGATAATTAGACAAGAGAACAGTGCTTGTCTTACATATCCTAGTAAACTTAATTCCTAATTTATAATTTCATTCGAACATTATACATGACTTCCACTTGTTTAAGCGTGATATGAAAGATTAACGGAAGATAAGAGAATGCGATCAATACTGTAATTCAGTAGCATAGTAAATCTGTGGAAAATCAAATAATTCTTTATCAATTACAAGACATTATCATAACAAATCGATAATGCACATCTTCTGCACACTAACTTACATATGTATGGGTAGATAGATCTACACACAATCTGTCTATTTTCTCTGTAGATGTATGCATATGTTTATTAGATAAAGTGATGACACGTGACCAAATGAAATTTTTCAGGTACCTTGGTGAAAAATAGTTACAAAAGTTATGTACAGATAAATAAATAAATGACAAATGCGGAGTATTTTCACACTTTCCATTTTATTTAACTAAATTTAACGGTTGTCAAAACATTGATGTGTAGTAATATCTACCACATGGATTCAAACAATTACTAAAAGCTTAATTATTGATCCAATGTGAAATCTTCATTTAAATTTTGAAGCTAAATTGAAGATCATAATAATGATACCAAACAGTTTAAAATTATGAATTTAAAATTATACTAGTCAATCGATTCATTAAGTGGTTATGTGTAACGAATATAAGGGGCACTAGCAGTTATCTATGCAATAAAAGTTTCTTTGAAATAAATTACATCCGTTACTTCACACTTCCTATGTGTGAAAGCCTCTCAATAAATTTTAAATATTAAAAGGTAGTTCAGATAATAATGTCAATCCACCAGAAAAGTGCAATGCAATATCCCCATCATGAGTTTGTACTCGAGTCTGATGCATTCTCGTGTTTCATGACTATAAACAAATCTGGTTCGGTAGATGTAATCATCATTACTATTTCATTCAGGTCGTGTCAACTGTATCGCATATAGTGTGATCTTCAGAAACTATGATCGTTTATATGATCTCTGTAGTTCTCCATTGTGATTAAATCTATACGGAATCCACTTCCGTTCATCAAAGTTGTTAATCTTCTAAGTCACTTAAAAACAGATTTTGAAATCAGAAATAAAGGATCACAAATTTTTTAAAATAATAAGTGCTTGAGTTCTACTTATAACATAACTATCACGTGAAACATATGCTAACCATTTTATTTCTTGAATTAACGATGGGTTTAAATGACTTGATATTTGGTGTAAATTAATAGGATAATGAATGTAGTGGAAACTATCAAGATATTTCAGTGTGCTTAGAAATCAATACAATAATGGAGGTCTGGTAAGAAAAAAGTGATATTTTGTAGAAAGTGGTTACAATCGACAGATGAGTTTGTTATCAGAAGTTTGACCTGAATAAAATTTGTTGTCTTGCTTATTTTAATTTACCTTGAATAAAAGAGAAAATCAGCGACTGTGGTGTGTGAATATGTATACATAAAGTTCAAGATTGTATAACAACTTTATGGAATGCAGAAAATATTCTTCTAATATGCACTAATTATGTTTTCATAATTAATTAAACAACTGTGTGATGTACCCATACTTATTGTAAAAAAAATTGTCTGTAAGTACGCTGAATAATCCGAACTAGTAAATAATGATACTATTAACAATAATGAGAATAAATCTTGCTTTCAATGGTATTCACTGTCATTGTTAACTTACAGTCTGAAATCAAGCAAACTAACATTCATTCACGTGTGTAAAAATATGGCTCTGTAAAAGGCTCGAGATTTTGTCACATTATTCTAACTATCACCATAACGCCCACTGAACAGCACCATGATGAACTGATGAAATGATTGAAATAAATCCTATGATCTCACTTTCTTTCCTGATTGTAGATCGTTTACGAAGATATACGATGAATGGATCAGAAGTGAGTATGTTGACTCTACAGCTGAAGCTGTAGCATTATGGAGGAGCGGGTTATGAGTCATGTTGATTTTACATAATACTTTGTTAGTAAGTGTACATAAGCAAATCAAAGGCAATTCAGCAAAGAAAGTTTTCATCACGTCGATATCACTCACTCAAGCTGTACAACTATATTTATAATTATTTTACTGATAATTTGGAAATATAATCGCAAATATTAGAAATTTTCTCTCGAGTTATACGCCTCTAGACATTATGCTTTCCTGTGTTTTGATCACATTAGTTATCATAATTGATCAATACTGATCGGTGAGTAAATAAAAATGTTTATCGTTTGATGATCGTCTTGTGTTTATGCTAGAGGAATTATAGCTTCTGAGTTTATCTGACTGTTTTGGAATACTAATACGTTGGATTGATCTGAAGACTACCATAAACCTATATCAGAATTTTATCAGTGTTGAATTTTCATTTCTTGTGATTGACTCTAATAATTCTACCGCTTCTCCACTACTGAACTTTTTACATCAAGGGGTTTAGAAAATAAATATTTTGGTGTCACAATAGTCTCCATATTATTTCGACTAAAATCTACTGAAGAAAAATATCAACGTGTAGTTCAAATTAAGCGTATTGAAATTAAGTAAGATTCAAGTGACCACACATTCAGAACTTGAAAAATTTATTTCTGTGAAAAGACTAAACAAAGTAAATTGTAAATTGATTACCAAAGAAATTAACTTTAATTGGTATAACTTTTACATATTTTTATGAACTTATAAACCTAGAAACATGTGATAACCTGAAAAAAGTTCATCATATTATGGTTCGAAAAATATCATGATGAGTAATTGGAAAATGAATCAGATACTGCGTGTCAAAACGGACTTTTAACTAAGCATATGTATGAAGACACTGATTTATGTACTAACTGGTGGACAATCTTTTAAGTCGAGTTATTGTAACTCGTCACATACTGCTGAGTCAACAGATTTCAAACACATATTTGGCGAATGGAATACTGAAAAATGACGAACTACTAAGATATATTAAATTATTTCTGTTTCTATTTAGTAATAAGCATGAGACTAATGTAATAATATTATAGAACATACTTATATCTAGAATTTAAGTTTTCTGTATAATAAGCAAATGATAAACTGAACAAAAATATGTACAAAACTATTCTGATCAAAAGGGTTTATCCATCTAAATAGTTCCGGAATTTTCGCTTGTCACATAATTATTCGATAAGAGAAATGTGATTGACAGAATGAGAGTAGTACCACTTTAAATCGCAATTGAAAAGATAAACAAAGACGTCTCAAGCTTAACACGATAATGTACCAAATGATGGTGTAAAACAAGTACGTTCTACTACCATAATTTTCCTATAGAGTTTCCTAGTCATTGGATGGTAGAAGTTACTAAAAACACTCGGTTATTTATAGTATATTTGAATCTATTTAACAGTTGAGTTCCGAATAGAAAATTCCCTAAATGTAGTATACAATTAATTTCCATAGTTTTTCAATATTATGATTTCATGCTCTCTCGTATAATTGTTCTTTCTCTAATAATTATTTTGAAATAGAAATAGAAATGAATTTACTAATGGATCATACAATTACGTTGAAGTGTTTTTAAACTGAGAATGTTTTTACCGGTTGGATCACTTGATGTCAGATACAAAACAATACAATTGCCGTAAACACAAGTGAATATTCATTGATCAAAATATACAAATTTATAAATAATATAACAATCACAGCACTATGATATTTTACATTTCATGTTTAGTTTTTCGTGATAAACAAGAACTATAATAGAATATAGATAATTCTCAAATAACTAGTAGAGTTCAATTCATCTAATTGTGTATTAGCATAATAAACTGGATTTCCTAACTATATAAACGGCAAATGATAATTCACAAGATCGATCTACTTACAGGACTTCTGTTTTATGTTATCCCTAGATTTATTCCTAATTTTCAGGCCCTGGATCCGAAACTCGCGAGCGGGATCGTCAATGCGCACTGCTGAGAAGTCCCACAATAAGATGAAACGGCTGTCCAGTGCTTCCAGGTTTTCAATGGGGGTCTAACATCAATCGGTTCAAGATCTCTATCAATGTTCTCGCTTTACTGGTTTGAGAAATATAATGCCCAGAATATAATCTGACTAACTTTAAAGTATTAGTTACTAGATTCTTTTATTATTTCGCGTTACGTCCATTAGCTAAACCAGGTATCTTACTCAATATATCTAAGGTACATTGAATTCAACAACAGTATGTTGAAATGGAAGGAAAGGTCTTATTATCATAAGACTGTAAATGTTTCATGTTATGTATAACAATATAAAGTAACTCATTTTAATGGCAATCAGTGTTTAAAAATTTGAAATAGAAATCTAATTAGTTCCATAAAATGTGGAATCATGTAAGTTGATTTATAGGTTTTCTAAAAATGCTTCGTGAGTTTTTACAGGGTGTCTATAGTAGCAAGGACAATAGTACATGTAACTGGAATCACAAAAATGAAACATTACTAAAACAGTCCATAAAAATAGAGTTGGTTGATTAAACTTCAAAGTATAATAAATCACCTAATGCTACTTCAGCAATGAAAATCAGCTTTATTTGCTAATGAATTTATGCACTTAACACATAGGTTTTAAAGTATCCAGCTTCTAGAAAATATTATCTACATTGTATTTATGTTTCAAAATGGTTAGTAGTTATTACTCTAATCAGAATATTAAAAGTGAGTCATTGGAAAAACTGAAACCAGCACAATATAAATTTTTATATTGGCCACTGTAAATAATTGATTATACTAGAAAAACATAAAGTGAAAAAGCCTCAAAATACTTTATGTATTTGATTCATTTATACGACAATTATTACTGCTAACAATCTACTGGACACAAAATTAAAGTAACTGGTGACATCTTGGTCATTTTATTTAAAGAACTTTGATTACACATTGTAATTTAAATGATTAAATTTAATATTTTAATCATAGATTCATCAAATACTCGCCAAATAATACAGCTGAAGGTTATTTTACTCAGAATTTTTTTATGATTTTATAAAGGATTTTCATCACAAACCATCGTTAGCTTTTGAGTCATCGAACCAGTATAAAAATCATCATGACAAATAAAAGTTTTGAATTCAGTCTTGTTTGTGTATGATGATGAGCAGTATTGAGACATTTCGAACTAATATACAGATATTGTTCATTATTGATTGTTTTCAGCAGTTTATTAGATGGCATCAGTTCTTGATAAAAACTAGCTTCAAAAAGTAATATACAGAATGTATGAAAACAATGAGAAAATTGGGAAGGGATATGAAGTGAATGAG